CAACCTAGTTGTGGTCGGAGTTGGAGCGTACAACGTGCGTAGAAAGACAACACCCTCGGTTGGGCGTCCAGGTTTTATATTTGGGAAAACTTTGTACCTGCAACTGGTGGGCTTCGGTTCCAACTTATAAAAAAAAATAAAGTTCAACCCAAATTCAGCAACAGATTGATGTGCATGGAGGGTGTGGTTTGACTTGAAAACGTTAGCTGCGTGTGCCTGCTTTTCTAGCTCCTCGCGTGGTAGCCTCCACCTAAAATGTGGGGAGCTGCCTCCTGCCTTTGCCACGGGCTTCTGAGCTTGACAAGGCACCGATCGATTTCATCTCTTCTGCAAAGCAAGCGCAAATAATGTTTCATTCTGACCATCTTATGTGCCTTGCTTAGGTAGATTGTTTGGTCCAAACGCAAGTTGTAAACTAGTCTAGTCTAGTGCTGCATTTCTGCTCAATTGCTCATCGTGGCGTCCATACTGGTGCTGCATGCGACTAGTCCGGCACAAAAACGCCATGTCGGAAGCATATGCAAAAGCGACGGCCGGTCGTACTTGCCATGCAGTTTCATCCTCTTCTCTGAAAACAAGATCCCATCTTCCTGTGCATTTAAGTTCTCAGACGTTTGTAGCGCACCATTCTGCTAGCAACGTCTGCTCTGTTGGAAAAGGGAATTATCAACTCTTGCCATCTGACAAGCGATCTCAAATGTTTCCCCCTATATATATCTGTGTGTTTTCAACGAGTTCATATTTGTCTGCACGGGCTGTGTGGTCACTGCCGTAGGCTTGTCAGTTTGTCGATCAACCTGCATTTTCAGAAAACTGATACTGTCGCAGGTACTCCTACGTGTATAGGCTTGAGAGCCACGCAGAAATACAAGTACGTTGTCCTCTGTTTAGGTCCTTCAAACAAACAATGAGACAACAATCTTGCCGTACCCATGTATGCATGTGAAGTCTCTAGCCCGTGCATTGCTCGCAGGATAATCCGATAATGCATGCCTGAAAATTATTGACATGAGGGTACTGTAAATCAACGCCATGGACTGTACTCTTCCATTGGTTGATCGATCTGAAGTTCTGAACTCGTAACCATCAGCACGGCGTTTTCAGATCGTATCCGACCCTTGTGTGCCACGGCAATTTAAATCGGCTGGATGGACAATTCATCATCATATCATTGCCCACTCTGCTTGTACTGAACTCCTCAATCCTTTGGTACTTTTAACTCTCACAGGCACAGCTCCTCTCTCCCGAGAGAGAAAGTTACTCGCGAGCTAATGTTTTAGTTAGGGGTCATGTTGGAGTTGGGGATTGCTCTAGCTTGAAGAGAAAACGATCTCTGCCCGGCCATTTTGTTTCCTAATAAGCTTCTGCCTCACTGCTTCTCCTACTACTACTCCTTTTTCTTTTATCTTGCTAGTACAACATATGTTCAGAGGAAGCTAGCTAACATGGGGTTTGCTTCCATCCCACTTTGTTCAAAGCCTAAGCTATATGCCCCCTTACAAATTTGCAACTTTACATCTCCCATCCGTCGATGTGTATATCGCCTTATTGACCAGACAAAAACTAGCTACCACTGACATGTGACATTTAGACATTGTGACTGACCACCCTGATCGATGGGGCCGCTTTAGCTGCCTGAGAAGATTGGTTGGTGCGGCTGCACCGTACACTACGCATGTTTGATCCTGCATTTTTTTTTCTTCTCTTGCTTTTATTTCTTTTTTTCCCGCGAAATATGATGCATCGTACATGCATGTGTGCATCACATACACGCAGTGACATTCATCAGCATCATATCACCTGTTGCAAGCACCAATTTATAGCAGCTAGTCACAGGCTAGAGAACAGTTTCATTTACGCTGAGTACTATATGAAGTGAAGTCACTTCATTTATGTGTGATCATTCAGTAATCAGTATTGTAGTAGAACTACTAGCTAGCAGAAAGGAGATCGAGATGGTACAGTACTAATTGAATACTGAATCTTGAGAGCAACAGTGAAAGATGATCAGATGATCGTGTCCACTGTCCACCGAAACTAGTACACCGTTGGGTGCATGTCGAAACTGCCGGAGTACCATCCGTGAGGTATACACCAAACGCCATGAATAAGTGTTCCTTCTTGTTGACCCCAGCTGAGTTGAATATATAGTGTGCATTCGATATTCTTGAGCGATAAGATTATCGGTTAGGTCTTTTCTTTCGCTAAAGAAAAGAATTAGCTAGCAAAGTTATCAGCAAGGTGCTTTACATTTCACAGTGGGTCGGGTGAAGTTTTCAGTTTGATCAAAAGCAACCTCTAGCTCTGCAACATTTTCACAACATATATGGAATCATGGATCCGTTAGTAACATAAAGTAGTTAATCTCTCTTTCATGGTTGTTATGATCTTACATTTGTATATGCTCCGAAAGTAGGAAGAAAAGCTAAAACAACCCTACATGAATTGTATTGTAGTGGCGTTCTTCAGAAGACCAAACATGTTTACAAGTATAGGCACTCCAACTAATGCAAGTGCGAGCTAGTAGTAACTACACAGGAATGATTGGTCATCACATAGTACGGTTCTGTTGAAGCATAGATATCTGATAGGCCAGTACTTGCTCCACTCGTGTGGTTAAACAAAGAGGGGCACATTATTAGGAGTAATAGACAAAAATCGCCATAGTTTCTAGCCTACGATTCAAAAAGAGAACCACCCAATTCACTTTTGGGCATTGTTCATCGACTTGACTTGGACTGCCCTGTTATCAGAATTAGGTTCGCTGGGATGACATGATTTAAAAGCATCAATGATTTGCACCTAAAATGTGAATGACATATTGACATTCCTACTACTGTAGAGAGAAACATCATTCTGACAAAAGAAACACTACAGAAAAACGAAATTTCCTCCAGCAGTTGCAGAGAGGAACTTTTCATCTCTCCCGTGGTCTTGGATCCTCTATTTCCCACGTTGGCTGAAATGCAAGCTTATTCTGAACTGTCCGTCTGGATGATGGGCGAGATTCAGGTAAAAAAGAAGCATGGTGTTCAGGTTGCATGCGATTCAATCATCTATGTCATGTTCATGTGGAAAAAATTTATTGAGCTGGCCCAAGTGCCTGCTCCAGTGTTCCTGGACTCAATTATAACCAAATCATACTAGCTAGAGTAGTTGACTTCAGCGATGCCGGCTGCGCTACACTCATCGACCAGCAGTGTTGAGAACCCATCATAGCTAGCTCAATGTGACTTTAGGTTATTGAAGTTTTCTTTATTATCTTAACACGAGATGGAGGTCAGAGTGTCAGACCGGGATCTCCATGATGGAGTATAAAACATTGATGTTATTAAACTACGTAGCATATGCCTATTTGGACTGAAGATTGGATCAGGATAGTGGTTCAGCTGTACTTCCCTCAGAATCAGTAAGTATACCGTATAGCACTCAACAAAGCGAGGCAACAGGTTTGGAGTATTCGAACAAGACATAAGTTTGGAGTAATTTGTACCGGTGGTTGCAATCAGAGGGGGAAATGGTGTGTGCAACCGTTTTCTCTATAATAGCATGTTGGGAAACACTTTTAATCGCCTAGGTGGACATCCACCTATTTGTTGCATGTCAACTAAATAGGTATGAAAAAAAATCAAAAAAATTCCAGAAAAATAGTAGTAACTGTATGCTAGTAAGAGGATTGGTTCCCATAGGTGTAACCAAACAGCAAAGATACCACCAGACTGATCGGTGCTTGTGAGCGAGCTCAAGAAGAACTGGACATCTGAACATTCAACTGATTGCTTCCAGCTATGGAATAACCTGAAGAAGGAAAATGGACTGTGTTATACATACATTGCTGTTCTCTCTCTTTTTTTTTAACAGGGAATTGAATTTCTCTGTCTCTCAGAAAATTATCTGTTAAACCTGTAGTTGTTCTCGAAAATAAAAACTGTAGACCTCAATGTAACAAGATGTTACCCATGGAAGATGGATGAGAGCATTTCTCCCGATGAACAACAAAATAATAGAGTGGAAAGTTCCTGATCACGACTTCACGAGTTACAGCAAACTAAACAAGAGCTGGGTCCAAGATGTTTCAGTTTCTTCCGATTTCTCGGATCCATGTCTCCACTCTCCACACATTGTTAATGTTCTCAACTTAACAGAAGAATCATTTTTACAGCAAGTGATCAATGAAAAATAATAGTATCTGACAATGATATTCTTTTGAAAAAAGAAAATATTCGACCCTACATAGGCACATCATTTGAGATCTGGAAGTTGAAAGAAAATGATAACAGACAGTGATATCAATTCGTATGCGTACTAGCTAAGACGAGTTGGCGTGACAAGATTGGAAACATATTGAACACCCGCAGAAAAGCACTGTGTAAAAACTGAAACGTGTTATACTCTACAGAAACAGGACAACCGACTCTGAAAGATGCACCGATTCTCTGATTTTTTTGCAAGGCTATTCTGTGACCTGAAATTTCAGTCACCTATGCTGTACACGGTGCTTTCATTTTCCCCCTGTAATATCCATTTTCTGCTCGAAACATTGGTCCTATTAAATCAACCTCTGACCATGACTAACATCACTTCCTGAACAATGATTTTCGTAGACCAATCCCCCCGAACACTGTCGATCGGAACAATTCGACATTCTGCAGTTTCCTCCTGCTGCAACACTATCTGAAAATCGGAACGATTCAGGCACCGTATCGTTGTCTGATTCGTCGATTCGTTCCATCATTAGTGTGTTCACAACGCAAAGACGATGACTGTAGTAGTATCTGCGTGCTGATTACATCCAAATACAGAATGATCATCTCCGAGAATGCGAAAGGGGGGCAATTGACGTAGCCGCCCCCGCCGTTGTTTGCTTCCCCATCTCGCACTCTTCCGAGACAGCCACGGCCTACCCACTCACATCGCATAAACAAAAAACGAGTACTTACAACCATACGAGTATACACCATAATACCATATACTCCACCCCTGTATCCCGATAATGAAAACGAAATGTATGATATAGTAGGCATATAATTAAAACATGCAACGAACAAATAGAATACTAGTAGTAGAATACACACACGCACATTGCCTGTGTTGTTACATGTGTACAACAGCTTAACCTCCAAACCCCCCATGGAAGCTTTGCAGCCTTGCATGTTACTCATTTGACCCACCCCTCAGTAGTAGTACTACCCTCTATCTCTCTATATACAAAATGAAAGGGAATGAGATTCAATTAAGCAGCTAGAACAGGGGGGAGTTTACAAGTGTTGGTGGAGGGGAAGAGATCTTGCAACCATAAAAGAAGAAAGCAGGCGAACCAAACCAAACATACCAAAGGGAAGCAAAGAAAAGGGCAAACATCCAGCAAAAGTCACCAAACTTGTAAAGGGATCGACACATATATAGGAGAGCGAGGTGTCCAGTCGAGAAGGACAGCCAGGCCAAGGAGCTCCTAGCCTCCTAGCCTACACAGAGCTAAGCAAAGAGGCAAAGAGCTCAGCAAGAAGCTCCATTAATCCATTCCATATACTCATATAGAGAGGAGGAGGAGGAGGAAGAGGAAGAGAGGGGAAGCAAAGCAAGAAGCTTTTTTTACTTCTCGGGTTTGCAAGCCACCGGGAAAGGCCGGGGCTTGGTGGTGGTGGTGGTGGTAAGTTTTCTTTAAAGCGGCGGAGCGGGAGGCCTTCCTGGGCGCTCCGGAGATGCAGCAGCGGCGGAAGTCGGTGTTCGCCTCGGCGCCGTTCGCGATGAAGCAGGCGGCGCTGGGGGCCGGCGTGGCGGCGCGCAGGAACGGCGCGCCGCTGTCGCTGGCGGCGGTGGTGTTCGCGCTCTTCGTGTTCGCGACGTTCCTCTACAACGAGGACATCAAGTCCATCGCCGACTTCCCCTTCGGCGCCGGCGCGCTCCGCGCCAAGTCCCCCGACCTCCACGTCCTCCAGGAGACCGTGGGCGCCGCGCACCTCGCCGCCGGCAGCATCGCCAAGCGCGGCGAGGAGGTCATCGTCCGTGTCCTCGACGCGCCCGCCTCCACGGCGATGGCGGCCGCCGCCGGCAGCAGCAGCAACAACAGCACGATTGAGGTGGCCAAGGCCAATGCCAACGCCAACGCCAACGCCGCCGACGCCGGTGTCAAGGTGGACGAGGGGCAGGAGAGGGAGCGGGACGTGACGCTCCCGAGTGTCAAGGAAGGCGGCGCCGACGAGGCGAGGCGGCGGGAGGACGAGGAGGCCGCCGAGAAGGAGTCCTCGGCGAAGGCCGCCGCGGCGACGGCGGCGCTGCGGACCGTGGTGAGCGTGCCGGACACCTGCGACCTGTACCGCGGCAACTGGGTGTACGACGAGGTGAACGCGCCGGTGTACAAGGAGTCGCAGTGCGAGTTCCTGACGGAGCAGGTCACCTGCATGCGCAACGGCCGCCGCGACGACTCCTACCAGAAGTGGCGCTGGCAGCCGACCGACTGCGACCTGCCCCGGTACGCCATTTCTTCCCCCACAATTTTTTCACGCCATTTCTTGCCCAATTTCGTGCCGTTTCACGCAATTCCGGGTAACCGGCATTGACTCACGCCGGCGATCATCGTCGGTTTCCCAAATTGATGCCGGTTTCTACCCTTTTCTTTTTCTTTTTTCATCAGCATCGGTCGGTCACCTCGAAACGCTAAGTCAGAAATAACCGTAGGAATACTTACGGGCCAAAATTAAGACGAACGTGTCAGGGAAATTAAAATAGAACGTTCGAGATTTTTGAAACGGAACAGAGAGTAGTAGTACCACCATGCCACACCAGTACACCACTCTGGTAGTGAGCTGTGACGTCGGACTGTACTGTGCAGCCGCGCTACCCCCTGTTGGATTAAGCTTTGCTTAATCTAATCACTCAGCATCTGGCTGCTGTTGAAGCAGCCACTACTTAAATCAAACACAGGCACGCCAAATTATTCTCTTTTCCAACCGGGGAACAGCTGCACGCAGCGACGCCCAGTCAGTCACACAGTGGGTGAGTGACGCGAGTAGAATATACTACTACAACTTGCTCTGTATCTGTGTCTCGGCACAGTCTGATGATAGTGGCAAATATAGTTGGCGATCCAACAACGCTGGTTGCTAAATAACGCAGGAAAAGTCTAACGAAAGCTGATGTGGTGTGGGGAAAAAAAAACTGCAGGTTCGACGCGAGGCTGCTGCTGGAGCGGCTGCGCAACAAGCGGCTGATGTTCGTGGGGGATTCGCTGAACCGCAACCAGTGGGAGTCGATGGTGTGCCTGGTCCAGTCCGTGATCCCCAAGGGCAAGAAGACGCTCACCAAGTTCGTCAACGGCGGCAACAGCAACATCTTCTACGCACACGTACGTAGCAGGCATCAGCAACGTCACGTACGTACTCCGCTGTCGATCCGACATGATCTCCCCCTGACGATACGGTGTATGTGCTACGTGCAGGAGTACAACGCGACGGTGGAGTTCTACTGGGCGCCGTTCCTGGTGGAGTCGAACTCGGACAACCCGCAGGTGCACAGCGTCCCCGACCGCGTCATCCAGTGGCACTCCATCGCCAAGCACGCGCACAACTGGCTCGGCGTCGACTACCTCATCTTCAACACCTACATCTGGTGGCTCAACACCCTCGACATGAAAGTCCTGTAAGTTGTACTCCTAGCACCCCAGCAGCGTACACACATACATATAGTGATATAGAAGTGGGTGTGCTGATCTGGGCGAAAAAATATGTGTGTGGTTGTACGTGACAGGAAGGGGTCGTTCGACCAGGGTGCGACGGAGTACGTGGAGGTGGACCGGCCCGTGGCGTACAAGGAGGTGCTCAAGACGTGGGCGAAGTGGGTCGACCGCAACATTGACCCCAACCGGACGACCGTCTTCTTCATGAGCATGTCTCCCAACCACATCACGTAAGCCGCCATTTATGCCTTTGCCTGCATCTGCATTGCATTGCCCCTCTCCATGATTTACTTCGCTGCACAGTGCACACGTGCCCACGCGCAGTACAGTTCGCTCGGAGTTAATCTACCAATCAATAGGAAGATATGCTGCACAGTGATGGTACATAGAGAACTCCATTCCGATTAGGTGTTGGGGTATGTTCAGAAAACAAAATTAGGTGCTTGAGGTGTACCTAGCAACTGTGTTGCGTTTGCAAGGAGGAAACTTAGCTAGCAGCCACACTTGCTTTCTGGACTAATAGTAATCTACAAGTAATTTAATTAGGTGGTGAGAGCCTGAGGGGACTCGTGAGCTTTCGGAGAAACATTAGTAGTAGAAGCCTCTTATACATTAACTAGCTACTAGTAGCATGGTATCGGAATACAACTGCACATGGTATCCCATCATAGAGCACTGTACTACTCATCGGTAGCTGTCTCTCGTGAAATGGCATCGTGGGGCACGGTACCTGCGTACAACGCGTCACTGTACTTCGTCAGGACATGGTCCGGACAATCTGTTCTGACTGGTTCAAGATTTGCATTTTTCACGGTTTCAACACTGGTATCTAAGCTTCTTTAGCCAATACTATAAAAAGCTTAATTAATTAGTGAGATGTCTTCAAAACATGCTAGTTGACGTGGGTGTAGAAACAACTGAGGTTTGTTGAACCAAGAATAATTCAAATTGAGTATGTATTTGTGTAGAGTAGTAAGCTCAAAACTAGTCATGTGGATAGCTGGAGAGAGGCGAGCTACGGTGACAAGCTGATGTTGGTGGACCATAGAAAATCCCAGGCCCACCTGTAGGCATGCATCTCGACATGGCCCACCCTAGTCGCTACCAAAGATGAAGCATACGAATCCAATTCCCCGAGCTCCATGTCACTTTCCTTCCTCGAGCCCTAACCCCACGAAAGAGAAACGACATCAAGTTGAAGGTAGCAACAAAAGACAGTAGTATAATACTGATAGCAATCAAGCCTACTAATCGTGCTCCACAATGATGATCAGCCTTTGCCATTGCATCTTTGCTGTTGCAAAATACTCAAAACAGAGAGATTCTTGCAGTAGTCGACAAGCAAAAGTTAAATCAGTTTTGGTCCCTGCAAGAATCTCGAGCTAGTATCCGCATAAATTACACGGTCCGTGCATATGCTGTGATAATGGCGCCAATATGCGAGTGCCATCATCATCAGGGTATCATCAGCACGACAGAATCTAGGGTACCACGGCTCCAATTCGCTGGAACATTAACCATAGTACTGCATCAGAATTCTACCCATCACGGCATCACGTGGTGACGGACGGATGGTGGTATAATCTTGTGTCGTGTGCGCGTTTTGTGGCAGGCCGGAGGCGTGGGGAAACTACGGAGGGATCAAGTGCGCGATGGAGACGCTGCCGATCACGAACCGGACGACGTCGCTGGACGTGGGCACGGACTGGAGGCTGTACGCCGGGGCGCAGGAGGTGCTCCAGACGTTCCGCCGGGTGCCGGTGCACCTCGTCGACATCACGGCGCTGTCGGAGCTCCGCAAGGATGCGCACACGTCGGTGCACACGCTCCGGCAGGGGAAGCTGCTCACCCCCGAGCAGCAGTCCGACCCCAAGACGTACGCCGACTGCATCCACTGGTGCCTCCCGGGCCTCCCCGACACCTGGAACCAGTTCCTCTACGCCCGCATCGCCTCCGCCCCATGGTCATCCGACCAGTAGAAAAAGAGCCAAATAAGGCTAGCTTCCAAGTGTTCTGCGAGACAAGAAAAGGAGCCAAGAACACCGTTGACACACCATCGATGCCCGCCGCCCGGCCGCGGCCACCTCACTTTTTCTTACTTTGGGTTACTTTTTTTTCTTCTCTTTTTTTCACCATTTTTCTTTCTTTCTCTGGGGTTGCGTAAAGCTGTCTTGTGCTGTGTTTAACATGTGATTCTTTTGTTAAAAAAGAAATGGAGGGTTTAGGATGGTGAAGGAGGATCTGTGGGCGGGCTGTGTTGACTATAGCTCATTTCTTGTCCTGCTGATAAAGGATGCATGGATAGGAGAAAGCAAAAAAAGGGTGTGATGTGAGATGTAAGGGGGGAAAGAAAAAGGGAGGGTTACATGTAAAGAATTTTTGTGTATTACACCATTCTAGTACATTGATGCTCAAGAGAGGTATAAAGGCCACGAGGTGCATCCGTTCTTCAATTATGATGATTCCTAAGTTTCTCCTTTTCATTTTATTACACTGAGTGATCACTTCACTCCACCTACTGTTCCGGAACTACTACTATGCACGAATGTTCAGAAAAGAGATTGGCAATGGAATAACACAGTCTGCACTTCTCTGAAGATAATTGTAGGGGAATAAAGCTCCGGAAGCGTGCATAGCTCCCCTTTCTCTTTACTCTTATCTTTAGGCAAACTGTGAGCAAAGCAACTCAGCTACATTCATTCAGTCTATACTTTTCTGCACGCAGGGTCAAATTACCCAGCAAAATCTCTGGTTACCAATAGCATGAGTGCATGACAAAGGCCATAGCCAAACGGGACTGCCTATAGATCATTTGATAGAAAATCCCTTTAGAAATCTTACAAATTTTGGACCACCCGATTGCTTTAAGATTTATGCATCAACCAAACCCTATAAAACCTTCTCCTCTCATTCCCCCTCACGCCGCCACTCCTCGTTAGCGTGAGCGTATTCCGCGTTGCCGCCGCCACCCGGTCCCGCCGGCGAGCCCCCCCCCTCCCTCTCCCCCCTCCAGCCATCGAAGGCAAGATGCTCCCGTCCCGTCGTGTCTGGCAACTCCTCGCCGCCGGATCCGCCACCATCGGCCACCACAAGGCACAAGCTTGCTATGCCCCCGCCACCAACACTGGCCCACCGCCCTCCTCCATCCCAGCAGCTCTGGTGTCGCCGCCTCGCCGCCCACCCGTCCTGCTACCCACCGCTAGGCCGCTGCCTCCCACGACCATCCATCTAAGCCCGGTGAACTCCCCCTTCTTCCCCCTCCCCCTCCCCCTCCCATCCCACCTCACCCCACCCCAAGAGCCTAATTCATTGGCCCTCCGCCAGAGTTTGGGTTGTCACTGACAGGGGCATAGGAGTTGGAGAAGAAGCAGCTGGAGCACGAATTGCGAAGCACATAAAATCTGCAAGATTTAGAGATAGATTTTTCTGTCAACATATGGTTAGCAATTCCGTAACCAAAATTCAATTTCACTCGTAAGAGAGGCCACATGAATGACAAAAAAAAAAAGCGCACACTCTTTCCAGAGAGCTGCGATCTGAAATGTAACAAAGATGCATCTAACTGATGTTACACTCTCGAGTGGAGGACAGGACCCCTCCACGCCCTCTTGCATCTCTGAATCTTTGCGCTTGTCGCCTACCAGGCTTCCAGTGATTCCCAAGTACAAAGCCGATGTGCCGTAATAAAGCCTGCAGGCTGCCGTTGTAGTGGCTGCCCTCTGCGCGGCCCCTTTGGGCCCAGTCCGGTGTCCCCTCAATTCAGATCGGTACAGGCCGGGAGCCCAAGGATCTGTCCATATGGATGTGCAGCTTGCTGCCTGTGCCGCTGTGCTCATAAAACTTCGGCAGCAAAGCAGCTGCACCGTATGTTTGGATGATTGGATCACGCGCATAATGAATTCGTTTTACCTTTTAGTACGTTGGATTGTACTAAGTTATAACTATACGGAGTATGATACGGCTTATCACTGACAAAGTGACAATATTCAGACACAGCAACTGCAAGGCAAGCCTATGATACTGCATAAGGTCTGCAGGCAATGCTTGAAGTTCAGGCTCAGTAGAGGAAAACTAATGGAGGAGCTGGTGGATGGTGAGGGTGACAGTCAAACTCTGCTGGTGTAGCGTAATTAACCTGATGGAGGATGCTACGCGTCGGACGTCCAATAGTTCGTAAATATCGGACGCCTGACCTTTCACTGCCGCGCGCCTACACATGCATGCACAATCTCTACCGTCTACTCTAGTTGATTAGCACATGTAAAAAGTATATATGCTTGCGCATGCATGACTGCATGGTTCAACACTTATCTCAACCCTACTTTTTATTTCTTTAAATTAAATTTCCTTCTAAATTAATTATCCGATTTATGATTCGATTTCACCATTAAACTCCATGCAATTAAATCTTCACAACAAGATATCACACGGTTATATTTTAATGAGAAAAATCGAACGTTGTTTCACCACTTATAAAAAAAATGTTTCACCGCTAGTCAAAATGTTCCAACTCACTCTAAAAAATGTTTCAGAGAAATGCAACATTCAAGTAATACTAAATGCAACACCGATAATATCGGTATAAAACATTGGCTCTCAATGAGTGAGACATAAAAATCTTGCTCAAATATTCCAACTCAGTCTATAAAAATATTTCAGAGAAATGCAACATTCAAGAAATACTAAGTGCAACACCGATAATTACAATTAAATATTTACAACAAGATCTCACATGATTATTTTTATAATTTAATCACAAGGTATTAACTATTGAAACATCATATAATATTTGCTGAAACATATGAATGATATTGTATACAACATTTTTAATTAACTAATGAATACTTATCGAAACACTCAATCAACACATATGCAACATTTACAAAATACTAGTGAAACATAATAAACTACTTACTGAAACATACAAATAGCACCATGTGATACATTAAAGAAAGATATATACATTACGACAATAATTAAATATGTGCAACATAATAGAATTTTAGTTGAAACATCTGATTCTCACATGTGAAACATTAAATTTAATTGGTTGAAACATATGTGTGTTTTTTATTATAATATAGTCATGTGAGATCTTGTTGTAAAGATTTAATTGTAACGAATACAATGGTGTAAACAGATCGTAGATTGGATGAGTAGTCTGGAAGAAAAATCATTTTCAAGTTTGCTAAAAGGGTGTTATGTACATGCAAATAATCTCGTGTCCTCTCTTCTTCATGCATGCCAATACTAAGTAAGTGAGCATATCTAACAGGTGTGAAAAGAGAGTATCTGACAAAAGGATACGAGGCTGCATGCAGCAAAGCCACAGTGAGAGGCGTCCAATTTTTGTTGGTTGCGTCTAACGTCTGATCCTAAGCATTTTCGCAACCTGATCTCATAAGTTTAGACCTGGTCGGCCTATCTCTGTGGGCTGTGGCTGAAGGCCCGTTTACAGAAAACAGTGGCCATATCGGCCTGTTTAACACGTGGCCGAACAGCGGCTCGGAGGTTGATCGGATCCACGTTTCTTTCCCTGCAATCCTTTACCCTAAACACACACGGACGCAAAAGCAAGAGCTGCCTACCCCGAAACGCACACGGTCTCGTCGTCAACTTAAAAGGCGATATCGGTAGCAGCTACTTGTCCAGCCATGACTCCCATGATGCAATGGATCACGGAGCTTGACTGGCTGTCAAAGAACAAGACTAATTAAAACAAGACATTAGCAATCACTGGTCCATTATCTAAAAAAAAGCAATCACTGGTCCAAGTCAGCGCAAACAGGAACTATATAGTTAATTTCGTGCACGAGTACAGAGCGGACACATTTGTAGGAGCTAGCAGAGGCGAGCAAGTCAAACCGCCCAGCCATGGCACCCGTACGTACGTGTCGCGCATCCCCGGCTTGACGACAGACACGCGTCGAGCATCTATGCACCGATCAGCTGAATTCCTCGCTCCAGCGGTAGTCCAGGCTGTCCATCCCGTGCAATTCGTTCGACCGCGCGGTGACGCCAGAGCTAGCGGCCGCGGCGGTGCGCACATGGCACGCGCGCGGACCACGCGATGCTCGCGCGAGTCGTCCAGAGAAGACGCGAGACGACGGCACCGCCGCGCGTAGTACGCGCGCAACCGCCACCCGCGATCGCCAGAATTACGTCGTCCACCGAGTTGCGTTGGGGAGAAGAAGCGAGGATTTGCGAGTCTTGACCGTTGATTACGAGCGGAGCTGGACGCATGTGTACCACGCAGGTGTTGGGCTTGACGTGGCAGCTGCGGGTTGCGGCACGTGCGCGCATATGCTTCGGCGACCGTTGGGAGTTTTGTTTTTAGACGTGGTTACGTTAGCTAAGCTAGCGGTCAACCTCGTTTGCATAACGGTTCGTTGCTGTGCATTTAAAGTTTTAAATGAACCAAGGACTACTCCAGCTTCGAGAGCCATGGCGTCATCGCTCGGATTTATGTGGGCGGAATTTGGTCAGCACTGGAGAGGTTTAATGTGGTCGCCAATCCATTCCAGACATTGTGAATGAAGCTTTTGAAATTATCTTTCTTTGGATAAATAAGCTTTTTGAGATTTGGACGTGCTGATCCAAGAAGAATCGCATTGTTGAACATATTGAATTATTGTTGATCGTACTGACTACTGATGCAGCTTTTGAACAGACTAATATTCGGGATACTAAGGCTGTGTTTAGTTCCACACTAAAATATTATGAAAGTTTGACTTAAATTGAAAGTTTGAAAAAAAAATCGGAAGTTTCAACTTTTCCATCACATCAAAACTTTCCTATACACATAAACTTCCGACTTTTTTCTTCAAACTTTAAATTTCAGTCAAACTTTCAATTTTAACGTGGAACTAAACACACCCTAGTACTCCTAAATGTAAACCTATAAAAACTTCGTCAGCGTGCAATAAAATTCAAGTAGTAAGAAACTTGGACCAAGGTTAGGACCTGGCCCGTTTGGTTCTCCGAATTGAATTGCGCAACGGACTTATTATTAATCGGAAAGGTCCCGTTTCAATTTGCATTCAAAAGTGCAACCGAACCAAGCTTAAAATCCAAAATTCCAAATGTGGCACAAGAACGAACGAGATCCACGCAACGGAACTGGCCAACCACCAACTGCCAGGGCTATACATGTTACTGGACCAATCCATGATATAAATTAAGGGGAGCTAAAACGAACTAGGGCTATATTTAGTTCCCTTTAAACTTCTAACTTTTCCGTCACATCAAATGTTTGGACACATATATGAAGTATTAATATGGACGAAAAAACCAATTGCACAGTTTGCATGTAAATTGCGAGACGATTCTTTCGAGCCTAATTGCGCCATGATTTGACAATGTGGTGCTATAGTAAACATTTGCTAATGACAGATTAATTAGGTTTAATAGATTCGTCTCACAGTTTACAGGCGGAATCTGTAATTTGTTTTAT